AGTGGTGGCCGATGTTCAGTCGGTGGGAGGCGACAGGGGCTGAGGGGTTTGGAATCTAGACGAAGCAGATCAGATGGCGGAGAGATCGTCGGCTTTGGAACACTTTTTTGCTTTGTTTGGGGGAATGGGGGTGAGTGGAAGAGCCTGGACCCGAAGTAGCCACTGTCGACCAGGAGAGGAGCATTCTCAGCGGAGGAAGAAAAGAGGAATTTTGTTGAGAGGCGGCTGGACGGGGAGAAGGAAAGATGAGGCTTTGCAATCCCCTACCCCACCCCACTCTCTAACAACAACCTAGAAAGAAAACACAACCTAGCCTAGAATAGGATGATGATGAAAAAGTTATGAGCCAAATGACCAAAACTTGTAAATATCATGGTAAAACCTAAGGAATCAACATTTAATCACATTTAGCACGAAATTAACCTAAACTGACCAAGGTGTGATGATTACATCACACAAACGCCTAAGAAATGGGGTGCAAAATATGTATAAAATTCGTGTCATCAATTGCATAAGATAATTGTGACAACAATCCATGATATAACTAGAAACTCTAGAGCGAGCTTTGCCTATAGAATACCGCTTTCCATTGCTTTCCCTTCCGACTTTACCTTTGTTTTACTTACTGTTTACATTTCAAAACTTTTACCAAACCCGAGGCACCTCAACCTCGCAAATAAGGTTTTCCAAAAGAACAAGATCCTCACTATCTAAGTGAGATTTGAAAGGCCATGTGCGAATATTATTATGTTTACCTACCATATCAATCTGAACCCTATCTATATCGGATCACCGACCTTTTTGTTTCTATATATTTTTAAGGCCTTCATATTTTAGGTTTTTTCATACCATTCTTTGATCTTCATTGCCTATATTTTGTTATTTGCATCCTAAATTCATTCCTCGGAGCTTTTCATGTCATCTTAGGGTGCATTAGACAATAATTGCGATTAAGGCACAAAACAGGGCAAAAGTGTAGAGTTTAAGTGCCAAAATGGAGTTCGTAGCCACAGAAGCCAAGTCCACTGTCGGGATCACAGAGGTCGTGAATTCCAACAGAAGATAGCAACACCAACCCAAATATTACGCCCGCAATCTTTGAGGAGGCAACCGCAAACTCGGAGGATTGCGGCCTCGAGAGGAAGTTTGATGCCGCAATCTTGAGGGGTCTCCTCCCCTTTTGTAGAGTGACTTTTGGTAGATTCCTGATTCTATAGTGAGGTCAGAGAGAGAAGTAGAAGGTTGGAGAATAAGAGGTGAAGAAGAAGTTGAGGAGATCTTTGGAGGAGGATTTTCAAGCACTAGATGGCCTTCTTTCTGATTTCTTCCCCTCTATTCATGTCTCCCCCCCCCCCCCCCCCCCTCATGGGGTAGTCCCTCAAAGTACATTGGGACTTAGTCTCTCAAACACTAACCTAAGGTTTGATATGTAATTGGATATTTTGTCTTGATTGTGGATGATAATGAACCTATCTATCTATGTATGTTTGATGCTTTTTCTTTCTACACATCAAGTAGTGAGGAATTGTCTATTTCCCATTTTTCCTAGTTGCAACTTAGTTGGGAGGGGATTTATCATACTCTTTCTTGTGATTTATGGATGAATTGTGTTTGCCTAGTGTGTTTATGCATGTATCTATTTCTATTGTGCTTTGAGCTTGTCTCTCCATATGCTATCTTTGGATATGAGCGGTTTGGCACGGTTTGTATAGATTAATGATCTAGGGACATAGTTGGTGGTCGAGGTTAGGGGTGGCTATACGGTCCGGTCCGATTAAATTGGCCCGAATTGATCCGGTCCAGTCCGGTCTTTTTGAAAATATAGGGACCAAAGCTTGGATTGGGTACAGTCCGGTTTTGACCCGGTCCGGTTTTGACCCAGTCCGGTCCCAATCCGGTTTTGACCCGTTTTTTGTGCTAAAAATAGCTAAAACCCCCGATCAATCCGGCCCGTGTTAAAATCGGATCAAAACCATAAGACTAGATAATCTCTCAAAAAGATGGATGAAGCATGGTTTATGTGATTAACGCTAATAGACACATGTCATCCATAAGAAGAAGAAGAAATTAACACAAGATCGAACCGCAAAGATTTGAAGACGACATTAGTAAACAACGGAAGTCCAGGAGCCATAACACAATATCGAAATTAAACAGATCGAGGAAGCAAGCTAACAAATTGTTCTCGATCCAGTACTGAAACAAAGCGCGCAATTAAGAAGGAAAAACTGGAAAATAAATGAAATCCGCAATTCTCCTTGTCAGCATGCCATGGAGCCTTCCTTTGTCTCCTTGTTAATTTCCGAGAAACACAGTGGTTAGAGCCAATTTTGTGTGCATGAACGCCCTCAGCAATTTCATTCAGTACAACAACATATCAGATTAAAGTAAATGCATGAAAAATGACCTAAAAAACTTACTCAGCTGCTGCTCCCCACCATTTTTCAAGGTTCAGCGGCTTCAAGCTGTTGTGCTGGTCGGAGGGCGACGAGTTGCTGGGTCACGAGATGCGGGTTGCTGCTGGGTCAAGCTGCGTCAAGATGCTGGCGAGTGGCGACGAGATGTTGGCTGATGAGATGCTCGCTGCTGCTGGGTCACGTCGCGTCGCGGAGCTGAGCGGAGGTGGGAGTGACTGCGACGGCGCGGATCCGAGCGACGAGGCGACGACGAGATGCTGGGTCCCGGAGAGTAGGTGGTCGCCGCCCGCCTGCTGAGTTGGTTTGGGGTTAGGGAGCTCAGGCTCGGCCGCGATGCCGATTCGGAGGGGAGGGAATTGAGAGTATCGCCTGTGCTGCTGTGTGTTGTCCGTTTCAGAAGTTACAATTTGCAACCTTACAGTACAGTGGGATTCGACTGGGCTGAATGGGAGGGGGAGTGGGCTGAGTGGTTGGGCTCATCTAGGGCTTGGGTTTTGCATTTGGGTTAGTTTATTATTTATCCGGTCTCCCGGTTTTGGCACGGTTTTGACCCGGATTGGATTGGTCCGGGTTTTTTACTAATTATGAGACAAAAGACGGGATTGGATTGTTTTAAATCCGGTCCCGGTCTTAAACGGTCCGGGTTATACGGTCCGGTTTCCGGTTTTTCATCCGGTCCCGGTCCAAATAGCCACCCCTAGTCGAGGTGACTATCCTCTACCAATTAGGATGCCCACCTAGGTGATGATGCTAGGGTGGTACGTTTGCGTGACCATAAACATATCAACCTAGTATGCAAATGGGTGCAACCCATTGAAAAGGAATTAGGCTTATCCCTAATTTGTGAATCTGATTAGGGTGAGATTGGGTCTGTGGATCAGATTAGGAGAGGACTTAGTTGCATGACCATTGAGCTAGCTCTCATATTAGTGATTCTCAGACAACGATTACCATGGATTGTTTTTTTATCCTTTGCATGTTATCTCCAGCGGTTAAGGCAAGGGACCCCAACTACCTCTTCTTTCATATTGCCCTCTCTTGAATTAATCTCCAACTGTCCATCTGCTCAGTAACAAGTCGAATAGATAGCAACCGAGTCTAAATAGACTAGGATACCGTGACCCCGTAGAATATGATCGAGCCACTTTACAGCATCCCTAGCATTGTTGTACTGGGCATTGTTATGATAGAAGTGAGTGTGCATCGAACACAAATTTAAAACTCGATCACTGTCAATCTTATTTTGTAGATCACAACGAACCTATTCTGTCTGTGTAAAAAATTTTGAAATCCAAGTTAGAATGACGAAGATAAAAAAAAAAAGATTAAGAAAAATAGTAAACATAAAAAGGACATTAATTCTCATCCCTTATATCCGACCACACTTAATACTAAGGTTCCCTATCTGTTTTTTTTTTTTTTTTGTTAGAAAGGTTCCCTATCTGTTTATACAAGTATGAATAACCCAATCTTAGACCTAGGTAGGGTAGAAATGGGGTACTGGTGGTGAGGAAGCGCGGTTGAGGTGGAAAATTAAAAAAAATTATTAATTTAAATTTTTAAATGACATGTCGGTTGGTTAAAGGTCAAATATTGTTGTTGAATGCCACGTAAGACGAAACTAATAGAATTGGACGGCCAAGTAGCGCTACCAAGCCTATGGACCATTGGGAACGAGAGGAACAACCACCTATTCAACAAGAAAAAGGCCGAGGAATGGGAGATAGTGGACAGGGCGCTTTCCTACTACAAAGAATTTCTATCAATTCGACAGAAGGAGGAAGGTAGGGGCAAAATTGTACTTGGGATTTGGAAGAAACTGTCGGCGGGCTGGTTGAAGATCAATGTAGATGTGGCCACTTTTGCATAATAGAGCACAGGAGCGGGACTTGTGGTGAGAGACTTGAATGGCCTCGCCTGCTAACGGCGGTCCGTCGAGATCAGCGCCAGTGGAGCGCCGAGGTAGCTGAGCTAAAGGCGATTGCGTTCACACTGGAGGTGATGGAAATGAAGGGGTTACATGCGGTGGAAATCGAATCTGATTGCCTGGAAGCTATCTCCAAGCTGAGGCACACATCATCGCTAGTCGAACTTGCTTGCTAACCACACAGCCGAGCTAACTCATTAGCTAAAAATGAGTCAGCTCACTAGTTGAACTCAAGGAGCCACTGAGTCGAGTTAGCTCGCGGCCTCATGAGCTGAATAAGGATGAGCTCAGACTTGACTTGTACATTAAAGAGCCGAGTTATGAACAAGTTTTTCCCGAGTCGAGCCGCTCGTGAGCAGTTTGACTCCTTTGCAATCTTATAGCCAAGTGACCAAGACGTAAAGTGTTTAAAACTTAGTGAGTAGTAAGAAAGGAAAACATTTTGAGTGACAAAAGCAAAAAAAAATTAGTTAGTTGAGCAACTAATTTAGCCAGAAAAATGACGCTAGTTTTACGTTTTTGGTATTCAATTTGAATCAAAGTTTCCTACTCTAGTTTCCAATACTATCTTGCAAATTACTTGCCAAGCGGAAAATTCCGTACGCGATCCTTCTTTCATGGATATTCATCCAATAGACCAGCTTGGCACTTTTAGTCTTGCTTGACACTGGTTATTACGATTTACGAGCCGAATAAGGCTTTGACCAACTAACCGAGGCCCCTCAGTTCATCCAACAATAACCGAGAAAAGAAGTAATATTCTGCCAACTTGATTTACTCGCGCAACTGAAATCTGACCCTAGAATCATGCCCATAGGAAGAGTTCATTCAATCCTGTCGATGCCAAAAAGAGGCCAGTGGTCCTCCAAAGAAGTGAAGTAATGCAGAAGCAAAACTTCTATTCTAAAAATGCAACATTCTGGCAATTGAGAGACATCTATCAAGAAAATTTGCTGTGAAGATCAAAATCAATAAAGAGACAGATCCGCTACTTTAACCTGCATAATCTAAGGTTGAGAACTCGAGAAAAGAACACCAAATTCTTCATGCTTGATTATTGCACAAGAGGAAACCAAAAGATAGACACAAATGGCAAAAAAGATAACACTGGTATTTCTGCGAAAGAACCAAAATTTAACTCTGGTTTTCAATTAGAATCAATCAAGATGCTGCGAACGCAGTACTACTATTTGGGAGGCTCTGCAAAAACTTGGCTCTTGCACCGGGGTCGGCTGAAAATCTTCCTAGCACAGCAATTGTGGCTGTGCTACTTCCAAACTTCTCAATGCCTCTTGAAATCATACATGTGTGGCCAGCCTCTATAACTATAATCACATCTCCACCTACCAGGGACGAAACAGTCTCTGCAATTTGCCTGGTAAGTCTTTCCTGCACTTGGAGCTTGAAACCGTAAAAATGCACAATTGATTGTAGAAGGGCCTTGGGAATTGGATTGAACCCAAAGTACCCAATGTGCACAACTCCATAAAATGGAAGCAAATGGTGCTCACACTGAGACCAGAATGACAAGTTTACCTCGATCAGCAACCGCTCTGGTTTATGGTTTACTACTAGTTCCCCATTAGCCTTAAGTGAATCCACCCCTCTACCATAAACAAACCCATTTAACTTCATCTCCAAACTGGTGTTCTGAAAATTCATAAGCCACTTTACGAAACGAATTGGAGTGCCCACTAGCTCTTCTCTCAAAGGGTCTTCCCCTAAAGACCTGATGATTGAATCCACTGCGGTAACCATTCCTGAGTTGAGTTGTCCATTTATAGAAGATAATTTTAGACTCGAGCAAGATTGCGATGGACACCATGAAGCTATAGAGTCTTCGGTATTATCAGTGTTTATGCCTCTAAACTTCAGAAGGCTCAAAAAATCACCCCAGTGGTCACCCCTATCATCTTCAAAAACACCTGAACCTGAGCGGACCAAAACCTTCGACCATCCCTGGCGATTAGAGTCCACAAGGAATGACTCTAAGCTCGGGAAACAAATGTGCCGGCATTGGAGCACCACGGCCACACCTGTTGGCTTGATCCAATGATGAAGAGCTGAACAGACTTCATTTGCTAGGCGCTGCGGGTCTTGGAGTCGCTTTGCAAAGACATCAGCCACCCTAGAAAGCTTGCTTAACCCTACAACTCTCTGACCAGACGGAATATAACCAACGTGGCACTTGAATTGGAAAGGAAGCAGGCATGACTCACAGTAGGAGAAGAGATCAAGATCCCGGACAACAACAAGGCCCCCAACACCCCCTGCATGTCCCACTGCAGCATCCAAACCAGCTTCAGGAAACAAAGCCCCCTCAACTATGTCTTTCACCTTTTGCTTATAACCTGTAAATTTTCAGGAGACAAAAATATCACTAGGAGATACTAAATTAAGAATTCAAACAACTCAATGCCCATTTGCATACAACTCAAGTACATCATTGCACCGGAATCCAAGATCCTCCTCAGACTTTCCCCGCAGAATGGAGTTGTCTTATCCCACACAAAATCAGAAAACAAGGGCCAAAAATGTGGAGTACGGTCGGCTAATGGGTTAAAAACTATTAACAGATCCAGACAGAACTATGTAAATATCAATATCAAAATTCCCAAAATATATACAGCGCTAACATTTACGGCAGAAGATGACAAACATAGATACTCCTAGACCACCATTCTTACACGCTAAAGATATGGAGTGGTGATATATGACTATATGAGAACTCAACTCATTCAAACAATCAACTTCAGATTCACTTCCAATATAGGACAGCTTCTATAAGTAAAGGAAACAACAAAAACAGAGTAAATAAAGTCGAACAATAGTGGAAAGGGAGGAAAAAAGTGGTACCTTTAGTGCCTTCTCTCAGGGCCTTGGCAACCCGAAATGGAGTCTTTTTGATTCCTTCTCTATTGATATCCTCTCCCAGACCTTGTAAAAGGACTTTGACAGCATCCTGAATGGCCAAAGTCTCGGGTTGACCCTCAATCCCCTGCGGCTGCAAAGGGCACTCTAGTTTCACTCCGTTGGCAAGCACCGCATGGAAACGCCCCTCATCTAAAGCGCCCATTTACAGAACCCAACAACAAGGAATCGGTGCAGCGCAGCTTACACCAACCCACCGCCGACAGTCAGATCCCTTCCGGACGAAGCACGAAACTTTCGGAAGGGGCACAACTTCAAATCAAGAACAATGAATGGAAAGAATATTTTAAACAGGTCTGGAAGGATGCAGCGTATCCAGATGCAAAACGAATAAAAAACACCCACAAATAAGGATCCCCAGCTATTAATCAATACGAAAAATTGAGATCTCGGGGATACCCAGATGGCGAAAAGGAGCAGGGTATGAACTAGGAACGGAGAATGACTGAGGGGAAGTAGAACGCGAGGTAGCCGATGATCCTCTGGATTGTGTGGATCGTTTATTTCTGAAATATGGGTGAGGATTGTGGAGAAGACAAGGGATAATGGTGAAGGTTTTTATTTATCTATAACAGTAAGAATAATAATAAACAACATATTTCTGCGAAGTGGGACCTTCATCACCGAACGAAAACGGAGCTTGGTGGCGGGCTGCAAGGGCTGTGCTTTTTGTTTGTATGTATGGCGGTAGGCGGAAGGAGGAGGCGATGGGTGGGAGGGAAGAGATCTAAGGAGGGAAGAGATCTAAGTCGGGAAATCGATGAGCTTTCGCTGTCAATTCAATTGGGAGATTTAGGGATTTAAAACGTTGCAATTCGCTTTTCGAAATATACTATGATCTGACCTAACAAAGAAAAAGACGGTTGGTTGTTGTACTTGTAAGTAGGGCTAGGGGTGGAAATCGGTATTCGGTATTCCAATACCAAATATCGAAATCCCGAATACCGAATTACACCTTAAAGTCAATCTCAATCTCAATCCCTAAATAATTTCGGTATCCCAATCCCTAAATATTTCGGTTTCCCAATCGGTACTTCGGTATCCCAATCGGTATTATCGAATATGAAATTAATTACCTTTGCAATTAATAATTAAATTTATAAATTAGATTTTTTTGTTAATTTAGGACAAAGAGACTAAGCGAAGAGTGTTGAGTTTGCCTAGAACTAGGATATGGATAAGGAGAATGGAAGAGATGTGGCATCTCTAAATTTTGTCATTGGTAATCTTTAATTTGACGAATTGGAGGCCGATAGACGACTAATACTAATGTTTACTTTTTGGTGTTATGAAAATATCAAGAGATTAGGTGAAAAAATGAGAGTTACTTAAACTCGAAAGTCAAAATTGAGTTGGATGGAGGCTTATAAGTTGTGAAAGAGTGAGGAATGACTAAAAGTTGTGTGCTATATTTCATTAATTTTTAAAGTTTGGTGTTTCTCGGTATTTCGGTATATACCGATCCCAATCCCGTAATCCCGAATACCGAATAAGACTCCAAAATGAATCCCAATCTCAATCCCTAAAAAATAAGTCGGTATTCGGTAATACCAAATAGTGATAAATTCGGTACGGTATTCGGTATATCCCAAATACCGGTACCAAACTTCCAGCCCTAAGTAGGGCTGCAAATGAGCCAAGTTGTATGTGGGCATAGGGCTGGATCGTCCACGGGCAAGTACGGCACGGTTAGAGCACGACACGAGCACGAAATAAATGGTCCAGCCCGGCACGAGCACAAATAATTTATGGGTCGTGTCGGGTCTAAACTTTATGAGCACGGACACGGCCACGACACGGTATATAAGCGGGTCGTGTTGGGCCTAATATTTTTGAGATTTTATTGAGTATAAGAACGGACATCTTACAAAAATAACATTTATTGATAGAAAATAGATATAAAAAGAATTATAGGCTCAAATATTATAAAATACAAATAGAAAAATAATTATTTGTTATTGTTAGAAGTGTCATAAAGATATATACGTAATTACTGCCATAAGTAAAAATGAACGAAGAATTAAACAAAACCAAATCACACCCGCTATACTTCCAATTTCTTTTTCCCCTTATTTGTTACTTTTCTCAAACATTCTCGGTTAATAGTAATACTATCTTTCTTCATCCAATTTTCACCTTCTTTTTCATTCTCTCTTTGATTTTCTTCCTTTTCATTAGACACGAATACGAGCACGAATAGGTACGACACGATTCCAACCGTGCTCGGGCCTGGGCCGGGTCTAGCAAAGTTAACAAATGGGCTTTCACTGCACGACACGAAAAGTGACGGGCCGTGCTAAGCACGGCATGAAATAAATGGGCCTGAAGCATGCTTGTGTCGTGTCGGCCCAAGCACGGCCCAACGCCCATGTACAAGCCAAGCCGCTGGCGAGCAACTCGGGCGTTCGAATCGGAAAAAACTCGTTCGACACTCGGCTCGTTGTTTAACAAGCTGACTCGCGAGCCGACTCGTTAGTAAACGAGCCAAGCTTGAGCTAGGCCATGCTCGGCTTGATAAGCTCGTGAGCTATCTTGACTCGGTGGCTTGTTGAGTTAAGCTCGCGAGCTGGCTTGTTTAAAGCTTGTGGAAGGATTAATTACTCTTCTGAACATGAAAAATTATCTTGTCAATAAGGATGTGTATGGAAGTTAGATGTTATTTTTAGTTTCTAGTGTTCTTTTTATCATTTTTAATTTCTAATGTTCTTATTTGTACACATTTTTCAGCAAGAATGGTTTCAAATCGAGTTTATCTTGAGCCGAGCTTGTACCCAGCTTGACAAGCTGTGTTAATGAGCATTTACCGAGTTCTATCGAGCCGAGCTGGATTATTTTTAATCGAGTCGAGCTCAAGCTGGATGATCAAAATTCGAGTTCGAGCCGAGCTCGAGCTAAAAAATTTATAAACGAGACGAGCCGAGTCGAGTTTTTTCTTGTAAGCGCGGAAAATTCTCAGTCCTTTCCATTGGAAAAATAAAAGCCCCAGATCCCTTTAACACTGTAGTAACTTAGCGAGGATCTGGGTGTGGGCGGGTGGAAACTTGTTCGCTAGGATTTCTGTATTATTTATTGGGTAAATACTAAATATCAGCCAAATTTTTCTCTTATTCTTTTCTATTATTCAAATCTATTGTTGAGTAACCAAATGTTAATTTTTAGTTAGCAATTTTGTTAGTAATATTGACATGGTAACATGATACTAATTTAGAAGAGACACATAGAGATCAACATTCCAAAATTTAAGTATTTTAACAAAGAAAAAAGGTACAAAATGACAAATATTTTGATGCATTACAAATATTTTTGTTAATTACCAATAAAAATTACGGGAAAGGTTTGCCTAATAATTCGTGTTTACCCTTATTTATTTAAGTCGCAAGCCATTAGTTTGACCCATCTCTCGTACGATTTCGGTCTATGGATGACTACTTTAATTTTAGGGCTAATATCACTAAAAATACCAACCTTTAGCGACCTTGTCATTTGTGTTACGAAACTTTTGATATGACAATTGTACACTAATCGTTAAGTTGAAGTTAGTGATTAACAAAAAATACAGCCAACAATGACATGTAATTGTTTACTATTAAAAAAATCAAAATTAAGAAACCCTTACAGACCACCCTGCACCTCACTCTCTACCTCCCCCGACAGATGTACAAATCATTTTTCTCTGTTCCTAATTTGCCCAAAATTCAAACCCCAAGCGACAAGCGCCGAGGTTAAGTATCGAACCCTTGGTTCGGATCCTATCAGTAACTTTACAATCACTAATAATGAGTAACCTCTTTTTCTGTACTCCACATTTCAACCTTTGTCTTTTATTTAAATTGAACACAGAAAGTTATTAGGGTAAATTGCATCCACCCCCATTTAATGTTGACGATGAAATTATTAAAGAGAAGCATGGGAGGTGGATAAATTCAAATAGGTTAAAGTGACAACCCTAAAAAGGTTGTCACCGGACAACATACATCTACACCCTTCATTACTTATCTTTTCTCCTACTTTTAAAATAATGGTCAAGATTATATTATGGACAGTTTGAGTGCAATATGCTTGACCAAAGATAAAGTCCACCATGAGAGGACTAAGCACATCGATGTGAGTTATCATTTCTTGATGACAAAGAAGAGGATTGATATAAAAAAAAAGGGAAACCTAGTTGCGTTCGTCACCAACGACACCTTATGAGGCTCCGTCGGTGACTGTCGTCATCGGCCAAGAAAAGTGGAAATTCGCAAACGCTCAGAGATAAAGGAAGAGAGAGTTGGTTTTTCCAGATATATGTTAATATAAATTTTTTTAGTAAAAATATAATTTGTTATATTTTGATAAACTTAACTTTTAAGGTCCATTGTATTATCGTTCAAATTCATTCATAGTTACTTTGAATACCCCAAAAATATTCATCGTACGTTACAAATATTCCACGTTGATACGATAACTTATCATATTCTACATATTCGTGGTAATAGAATTTAATATATGAAAATGATGAATGCATTGAGGCACAACGTTTAGAAGAAATTGTAGCTAACATCATGGGGAGTTAGATTGAGGATGAAGGTGTTGATGATTCAACACCTTTGGAACTGGTCACGAGAAAGGCAGCACCTAAAGCCGCATCGAGATAAACTTTTACTAGATTTGAAGTTCAAGAAGAAAAATATAGATTCATATATTTCTAGATTATCCTAGCTATATTGTAAATTTCTTTATGTATTCTATTGCATATAGCTATGTTGTAAATTTCATAATTATTAATTCATAAAAATGAAAATACATATAACTATGTAGGTTGGTTCTAAAAAATTTATTATCTTATTATTTTATTAAATGTGCTCATTTTTAAATTTCCCCAAGTCGAAATCGGGAAATTATTAATTATGGTGACTTCTTCGGTACCCTCACACAAAAATGAGTGCATACAAAACACTCAACTCAAAAATTAACATAAAGACTTCAAATTTGAAACTTTACTTGGTAGCATTAGTATAATATGATGATATAACATATGATCACAAATTCACAATTATTCAATACATTACTCTAACCCCTCAATCATCAATTGTGAATCCTAGTTCTAAATCCAAATTATAACTCTAATCTTAATCTCCAAAGCCTTAATCCTTCAAATTAAAATAAATCTTGAATGATTTTTATACAAATTCATGGAATTTCTTATTCATCATATCACAAATAACAAATGACATAATTTTTATATGAATTATTTGCAGAAAATGACAATTATGAGACGAGTCCATATTATGGAAAAAAGTGCACTGAGATAAATTATTAATTATACTAGATTATTAATTTATATTTAACATGATCACTAAAGTTAACGCTTTTATGAACAAAAAAAATCAATGAAAAGAATGCATAGCATTAAACCGCTAAAGCCTAAAGGTGATCAGTTGTTCAGTACAACGACTTGATTGACAAAATAATTAGTACATTGTTATAAAATCAAGAGAGATGTAAAGTTTCCGTAACAAGAACATGATAACCTACTTATAAACAAGGAAGATGTGACTCTTTCGCCACAAAATTGACCACAAATGAATTATTGAGACAATTTTTGCTATATTTAAATGAAAGAAAAGTATTGTGATGTCAAAACAAAATAATATGATGCTATTGTATTTATTCATAAAAATATTGTAAAATAGGGGTTAGACTGGGGTCTAGATGTAAAACTCTTGCATAATTAAATCAATGTCTTTAGTTTTGAGTAGGGCTAGATGTAAGAGTTGAGATTAAAAATGATTTTTATTTCTTCTATTTTTAATTGCTATACATTTTTCATGTTTTAACTTATACTTTAAAAAAAATTCACAGATAGAACGAATTCGTTGTGATCTACAAAATGATATCCGTTGTAAATATATTTCAAGAAAAAAAAATTTGTACCACCCATACCACTTGTTACCACTCTAGTAACACTTTCATTTTCACTCAAATTTTGAAATTTTTTACCTAAAAGGAATGAGTTCATCATGGTTTATTAGATCTACCAATTTTTTGGGAAATTTTTTCAAAACCAAATATATCATCCTATACCACCATGGGTATAAGGGGCAACCGGTGGTAGACATATGATGAAAATTGGTAAATTATAGTTATTATATTTCTATGTTAATGTATACAATCATTCTACTCTATGATATATTCTACTATCATGATACACTTTTATACCAATATGGTATCATCTCATATTCTACCAAGCATTACCACCATGGTATTGATTGGTAATAAATGTCTCACTTTTTTGTTTCAAAATATATGAAAATGGATGTAATTTTTAAGAGCAAAATTAGTCTTAATTTTCTGTATAAAAGAATTTCAACGTTGAAGCAATGTGGTAAATGACAATTAGTGGTAGCAGGTGGTAGACATTGACGAAAATTGGTAAATTACAGTTAGTATATTTCTACGATTATGTACACAACCAATATGGTAACATCTTATATGCTACCAAGCATTACCACCATGGTATTGATTGGTAATAAATGTGTCACTTTTTGTTTCAAAATATATCAAAACATGTCATTTTTAAGAGCACAATTAATCTTAATTTTCTGTGCAAAAGAATTTCAATTATGACTTAAATGGAGTACGTGGGCTTCCATTTCCAACTACTAACACATTGGATATGGAGGGTACCGTGTTCCGTCTTCTAGAAGCTACGACGGTAAGTAGACGAAGAGGACTAGTCAACGAGGAAGAACTAGTCGAAAGAATGTATGAGGGAGGAGAGGCGAACCCATCCACTTCTCATCCGGTTCCCCCAACATTCAACCATGCAAGGGATTTCCAAGTTGAAGCGATGATAGTGGCGATCCTTCACAATCAAAGGAGGGAGAAGGAAGCACGACTACATATCTTGGCGTGCATCCATGCCACAATGAAGAAGTTGATATCCCAATTGAAGATGTATCGCCCCAACTTGTTCGCTCACATCCCCTTTCGCCATTCCAAGAAGAAGAAGGATCCTTCGAGGAGGGTTAAATACTAGGCAACCAGGGCATAGTTCTATCTTTTCTTTTCTTTTCTTTTTCTTTGATGTTCTTTCTTTTTCTTTAGACGATGTTTAATTATTGCTTTTGTTTCGTTTAAATTTTCGTACTCTAATTATTATCGTACTAGTAGTAACCATTCTTATATTATCTACTTATCGTACCTATGTCTTTTAATCGTCTTCCTCTCTTTCTTATGTGATTTATCGTTGTGAAAACCACTAGGAAGACAAAGAACTACACTTCTGTATCTTCACCAACCCACAACCCGACCTATGGTAACCTTCATGATCTTCTCTTTTGAATCTCCCACACTAAGGACAATGTGTTGCTCAAGTGTGGGGGGATGTGTGTGAATGTTTGAATGATTATCATGATTGATTGAGCCATGAATCACTAGTGTCCTCCCTTGAATTTTTTTTTTTGTAAGACGTTGATGATTGCTTATGGGAGTATATGCTAGCGATTATGCGTGTTGTGGTGTTGAATGGTTTATTGATTGTGTTTTGGAACTTAGAATTCACTACCCAAAAAATTTCAAATTTGAGGGTTCCAAAACACCTTGTTCCTTGCAACTTCCTACTCAATATGCTTTGAATTAATAGATGATTGATGTGTTGTGCTCGCTAAGGAGTAGTTGCATGATTAGAGTACCGGTGTATGAGAGGTTTTACTCTCTTCTTCCTCTTTGGTGAGTCGACAATCTATTTTAGGAAAAAACATGTGTGCGAGATTCTTCTTCATTTTTGAATTCAAAACTTTTACAAATTTGTGCTTTATGTTGAAAAAATAGAATATATTTTGAAAGGAGGTTCTCACGTGAGAGGCAACCATTCCTCTCGGCTTGGAGTGCCATTTGACGATATGTTTGGGGACCAGATAGCTTTATCGCGTCCCAATCACCTTTAACTACTTACCATCCCCAAACATCTTTCCTCCTCACGGTAAGTTTTTTCATACCATATGGTATATACTATATACTGATAAAAATGGCTCAATTTTGTTTTGTTCCAAAAATATATCAAAGTGGATATCATTTTGAAGAACACAATTAATCTGATCTAACTGTGCAAAAAAATAAATAAATTCCAACTTAAAACGAGTGAGAAATTGTCCGTAAAAATTAAGGAGGAAAAAATTAAATGATTTCCAAAAAAGTGAAGGAGGCTAATGTGGTGGATGGTTATTGAATTATCCGGCTCAAGATAGGGTGCATAACCATGGGTTATGCGCCTATCAATAACTAAATCTGGACCCTTCATTTAGAAAATTCAGATCTAAAGATGGAGAATTGAAGGTCATTTTTATTTTGGGCAAATACAATATAATATCCATAACTATTATGGATCGGAGATTTATATCCTCAACTATCAATATACAAATTAATATCCATAACTATAGTTGCGGGTCAAGATATGGCTAACAGTCTGTTACCACCGTTAAATTTGTAACGGAGATTGCCTTGTCAGCATCCATATTGGCGTCCACATCAGCAAATAATTAAATATATAATTTTTATTTTTAAATTAAAAAATTAAAGTTGAAAAACAAACTCAACCACTCTCCCCTCTTTTTCCCCCTATCTTCCTCCACCGTCCCCTGGCTTCCTCCGCCCTCCCCTGTCTCCCTCTTCTTCTTCCCCTATCTTCCTCCACCGTCACCTAGCTTCCTCCGCCCTACCCAGCCTCTGTCGTCTCTCAACTCCTCGTTAATCGGGACTAGCCGTCCCTCCGCCGTGACAGCACCACTCGTCGTCCACTGCATCCACCGCTCCTACGACTCCGTCAACTGCCTCGCTGGCGTCGTCCGCAGCAGATCCGACTGGCAGAGCTCATGCGCCATCCTCTCCAGCAAAGTCGCCACTTAGGAGCAGCCTAGATCTGGAAGAGAAAATGGACTCGATTTCATAGGTTTTGTCAATGGTCACAAGACTATTGACCTAGATTTGGTCCCGACCTACGATACTGCGACTGCCGTCGACTGCAAAAGGCGTTGACTATCACCGACCTCGCTCCAGCTCCGATGCACAGAGCGCAGCTCCGAGTCGCATACCGGGGAGTCCCTGGTGCGTACTCCGAGGCAGTGGTGGCTTCTTGTCGACGATGAGCTCTCCAGACCTGGATCGAAGATTGGGGATTTGGATTGACGATGGGGGGTTTGTTTCGTTACTTCCGATGGGTGAAAGAAGAGGGATTGGGGTTTTTGGTAGGGGGGACTCAGACAATGGCAGTCTCGCCGCCACGCCTGCAGGATGGTGAGTGGATCCTCGTCGGTGACTTGGTGTCTTTGCAGACGAAGGGGGAGATGGACAGATGAGAGAAGAAGGGGTTGAGGATAAGAATTGGGTGAGTGGATGTGAGAGGAGGGGAGGGGTAATATTTGTTTTATTTTTTACGTTTTATGTTATTATTTACTTAATCAATTCCACCTGGATGCCACGTTCTCAATTCCACCTCAATTTTTTTTGCCAGGTCAGCATTGCAGAAAGACCTACTAACGGGGTATTAACGGACAATTAACGATTGGATATTTATTTGTATATTGATAGTTGAGGATATAAATCCCTGATCCATAATAGTTATGGATATTATATTGTATTTGCCCTTTTATTTTTTCTAGCTTTCTTAATCGGCTCATATCTTCTTCGTTTTAACTCGGATTTTAATTTTTTTTTTCACAGATGGAACGAGTTAATCGTGCTCTACTAAATGAGATCTATTTTCAATATTTTTTGATAAAAAAAATCTTGCCTCTCTGTACCAATTGCATATCATATGGTATCTTCTTCGTTTTTAATTCGTTTTTGAAAACATTTGCACAGAAGGGATGAGTTCATCATGATCTATTGGATCTACAAATTTCTGGGTGAACAAATTACAGGATCAAAAAATACCACACAATATCATCATGGTACGGGGTGGTATCTTATAGTACACAATATTAAAAGTCGTAAATGACAATTAATATACTTCTACTATCATGTATTCAATCATCCTACAGTCTTGGTTTGTTCATACCATCATGGTACGCTTTTCAAAGCATAAGTATGCTCTTATTTCAATACCAGTCAATACCATATAGTATAGACGGGTAAAAAATCGCTCAACTTTTTTTGTTCGAAAAATATATCAAAGCGGATATCATTTTGAAGAGCATAATTAATCTGATCTAACTGTGCAAAAAAAATTAAATTTCGACTTAAAACGAATGATAAATCGTCCGTCAAAGATTAAGAAAAGGAAAATTAAAGGTTTTTCAGGAAAGAGAAGAATGCTGATATGAGTAGGTTACTCATGATTACTCACCGTACCGGATCCATTGCCGAATTATCCATGTTACTTACCACAAGGTTATGATATTCCTATGGACCATGGTACATAATTGAGCCCCGGGAACGATTACATGTTAATCCTTACCTTTTTTATTCTAGTCATGGAGCAATTCACCAGGAAAAGCTAAGACACACCATTTCTGATTTAACCCTAAAGCGGCTTTGGATCTTCAGATCCATCAAATTCATTTGATTAAAGAGGTTATGGAAACTAGACAGAAATTCAGGTTGTGCCCATCGTCCTTCGCCCACCACCACCACTGCCACCACCACCGTCACCCCCTTCCATTTTTAACACCACCACCACCAGCACCAGCTGTCCGTCACCACCACCACCACCACCACTGCCACCACCACCATTACTGCAACCACCACCATCACTGCCACCGCCACAATACTGGTCAACTCCCGACGTTTGTCCCTCCGATGCAGAATCGACATCTACCGGCGACTGCTTACCCACTGCCGCTGCCGCTGCCGAACCCATCAACCCTAGAAGGAGCCACCGTCTGGAGTGCAACTTTCCCCACTACTTCGTACATCCTACATCCATATCTCTGCTGTTTGTTCTTTTCGTGTCCGAAGTTGGTTCTTCCTAACTTCTGGTTTGTGGCCATTCGATTTAAAACAGGACGGAGCCTGCGGTTGATTTTAAAGCCCTAGACGAAGCAGCTGAGCAAGGAGATGACTACGACGATGACGACGATCCGACTTTTGTGCTGACCGATGAGTGGAAGGAGTTCTTCGCAGCATCTGAAGCCAGAAGGCGACTAGGTCCCAATCTTCCCCTACCCTTTCTCTAAACACATTTATATTGATTCATTGATTTAGCCAACTTGAATGGGATCCCTTCCTTTTGATATGCAGAGAAGCAGCAACGACGCTCTAAGAACAAGGCTAAGCACTGACAGAAGTACTCAAGGACTCCGCAACAGTGAAGAAATGCAACTCTCTATCTAGTATCTATCTAATGCTCCGTTGAATAAGGCCTCTGGGCATCTAGTTTTGTTACAGAAGTAGAAGAGAGGAATCATTCTGTGTTACTGGCCGAGTGCGATTACATAGAAGTTCGATGCAACATAACTGAGGATTCACGTTACAACATTATTGAAGGTGGACATCGATCCATATATATAAAGCTATGGCTTTGAGCTAAGCTTGCTGAAAGCTGCACCAGTTCTATCCTCCCCAGCCAATCTGTGTTGCTCTTCATAGAAATCTAAGATCTCCATTGATATGTTTTTCACCTGCCAATACCCAAGCCAAATCATCCTCTCGTAGTTACAAAGACACAATCACTGAATGAAGATCTCCTTGCAGCAACACGGGATGATGATGCCTGGAGACTCAAAAGAGTTTTAGGCTTTAGATAACTCACCACATTCATATCAGCTCGAAGCTCCTCAAACCAGGCCGTTACGTCTTTTTCTCTATACACGCTGGCGATGTAAATGCAAGCCAAGGCAATCAGATGAGGTGGGTGCATAAGAATCAGGTCCATCTTGTAGGTGTCATTCACGAGTCCCCTACACCACGATTATTAGAGAAAAGCCTTATGGTTCATAATGAATCGACCTTTTCAGTGTTAACAATCAAAACCATCATCCATTCTAAACAATAAGCTAGAACATGGTATTCTGTTGCTTCTCACTTAAACTCTCCAATCATGTATGGCCCTGAAGACCTGAATCCCCAGGTTGCATAGTGAACCAGAAATGATTTCGTTAAAAGAAGAAAATCAGCTGAATCACTCAGATGGGAAAGAGATTAGTTGTCATGCCAAACATTCTCAGCAGATAAGGCGAAGGGGCCAAAAAACACAAAACACGCAAGCTAAATAACCTACTGTAACAAGGGCCCAGAAAGAACTAAAGAAACGAAGGTTGTCCAAAGTTGGATCCTTACCACGACAACTGAATCATATTGACATCATGGACGCCAGCATCTTGCAAGAACCTGCCAGCATACATGGGAAACATGATCAAAAATTAAGGCAAAAGAAGGGGAAAACACACAAACACCTGCCAGGCTGCCACTCTAAAGACAGCTTCAGTAATTGAGATGTAGAGTGCAAGGAATACAGACTGATCAAACTACTAAAAATGAATTACAAAATAGAATACTGCTTCCAATGTTTCAGTAACAATTTTTAATATGCCTATAAGCGGATGACAGGGAAGCTAGATATAATCGTCACTTCAGTGTGGGGAAAAAGAAGTCTCAAGAATTGCATTCCAGGTGCTGCTTAACAACTACAATAAACACCAGTTTCCCTTTTTTGAACTAATATCACCTAAACCTTCTATAGGTTCCCCATTCAGTTTTATATCTCATTTGTTTAACTTTAAAACCACATTGGAATGTCAATTAAGCATTAACCGATATTCACAATGATGACGTGCAAAACCTATATGTCTCTTAAGACTAAGGCCAAGGAACAGAGAACAGGGATAAAACCAGTGGCATTTAGAAGCATATCGTGCTTTGCTCTTTCAAACTTCTTGTCACTTTTTGGCTTCTGCTGAGCTTATAAATACCGCAACTACAGGGGATACAAACTGCAGGAAAATAAATGAGGAGCTTGATAAGAAGGATGAAATTAGAACTCACTGAGACAATGAGCGATATGGATGAAAGACTACTAAGTAGTAGTTAAGAGCTTCCAAAATCTTCATTTCCATCTCGAGTATGTCTTTGATCTCAAACTTAAACTTTTCATCATCTGTAATACACAGTGTGGTGGTTAAAATGTTTGCCACAATATGCTAACACCCAAACTTACAGCGGAGAAAGATTTAATCTTCCATTGTAATGAACCATGTACTAACTGCTATATAATTTCTTTATGTAAAACACAAGCGCTCGGGCTTGCACTGTGCTCTCTTCTGCTTTCGATGCCAAATACAAGCAGGTTGGAGCAACAAGCCGTGGATCATACTCTGACATACTCTTTCTGAAGCAAAAAAGGTACTAAAATCAATACCAGCCAACAGAAAACACCGAATGGACGAAAAAACCAAACATAAACATATGAGCTCCCAGTCCTAATCCTAAGATCAGTAAAAAATATTGCATACCTGATATAGACCCGTCTCATGTAAGTAATTGCAGTGGCAACAACCCTGGATGGTTAAAAAGCAAATGAGTCATGAAACTTGGCAAAAGAAGGTTCATGAAAGTAAGAGAGCCACTGACTTCTATAGAACGATAAATCAGTTATTGTAAAAATGTCCATGATGAACAAACAACCAAACTGAAGTACATAACAAATAATTCAGGCAGGACTCTCAAAGTTGTAATACACAGGCATAGTTGTGTAAACTATCAGAAGAAAAAAGCCGAACCTTTGCCTTACTTTAACGGACTGAGCCAATTTTGCTATATCTGGGTAACAAAAGCAGATAATGAATCAACAAAAGGATTTGGGATGAAAAAATGCAAATCCAGCATCTGAGTGATGCCCTGCCTAATCTTCAGCGGAACAATCAGCCTTAAAGAGAGCTATACATATCAGAAATGCGGCTTAACAGTCGGTTGAAATCATTCCAGTACTATAGAATCAGATTATCATGAATTTCAAATGCTCCAACTCATTAATGTTCACCACAGTAGGCACCATGGAGCATGACAGAAAGATTCCCAACCAAGCAAAGGAGTTGCAACAGGACATCAAAATGTTAGGGGTTGAATCACTTTATGCAGAATCCAGTACGAAAATTAGTAGTTGAACACCGATAACAGAAGCTGCTAACAAAACCTAATATGCATCGCTAACTCTTCCCATACATAAATGTGAGACAATCACATTACATATCAGCAATGCAGCTGAACAGTCAGATGAAATCATTCCAAGACTAGAATCAGAGCATCAGAATTTCAGATTCCCCGAGTTATAAGTGTTCACCACAGTAGGCTAAGGGAAGGAACTTCAGTAATCCTTTATCAACTGAAAGCATGGAGAACTAGAGAAAAATTCCCGACCAAGGAAAGTAAATGTTAGGGGTTGAATCACTTTAAGCAGAATCTAGCAAGACCATCAGTAATTGAACACCAACAACAGAAAATGATAACAAAACCTGAGGAGCCCAAATCACATGACCTCACAAACAGCCTTGAATTCAGAGAAAGCGCACAAATTTCTCAGGACGTAACAAAAGGAGAGTTGTACACAGCTCAAGAAATCATACAATTGGCCATCTGCATCTTAATGAGCTTGAAATCTTCAAGCGTGATGCCTCTGTCTTTGTCCAGTTGCTGAACCACATCGACGTCTTCGGGGTCCATAAGCTGCCGACTGAGATTTTGCGGGAAACGGCAAGGAAATAGCAGAAAGCAAACCAAATAATCTGATCAAGACAACACAACGCGAACAGAACCCAGGAACAAACAGTAGGAAATCAATCCACGGGCAAGGAACTTACAAGTGAGAAGAGGTCCAGAAATTCGAAGACATTCTTTAACGGGGCAGCAGGAAGTTGCTAATCACTGCAATTTTCTTCCCTAAGTCTGGTACGAAGCTTTGCCCCAGGGACGGAGAAGGAAGCGACTTTCCCTTCCCTCTCGCTCGTTCTCTCTCTCTCTCTCTCTCTCGCTCTCGGTCGTCCGTTCGGGTTCAACCGGAAAGAATAGTTGTTGTTGTTTATCTTTTTTTTTTTTTTTTTTTTTTTTGAAAACCGACCGGAAAGTATAGGGTGGGTAACGAGAAGCGGGTATATCCGTACCCGTCTCGTTTTTTTAGAGTTACGGGTATCTAAATACCCGGATTTTTTTTTATTGCAGGATGGGATTTGGGATCAAGATTCGCTATTTTGGATACCCGCGGGTTACCCGTTTGGGTATTACAATTACAGGTACCCGTTATACCTATTAGTCCAAAATCCAAATACCAAACCCACTCCACCCCAACTCGCCTCCTGCTGATGAAACAAAATGAAAAGTGTCCTAATTCTGCAGACGTATTATTTGGTAATGTCTGTTTATATTTCTTTACTCTGAACTTGTGGAACTTCTATGTTTGGCCAAGACATTTTGCTACTGGTAGTGGCTTGTTAGGTTGCGACTGCAACTTAGGAATTATTTTCCTGTTCTAACTTGTAATTGCAAAGTTTTTCAGTTCTAATAAAAGAAGTTCACCCTTACAAAAAAAAAAAAAAAAGAGGTATAAGGTGGAAGTTGGTTTGATTGGACAGGTATTTACGGGTAGTATGGGTACCCGTTATCCGTCCCGTACGGGTAATTGGGAACTGTTTCCAAGTGGGATGGGTTGCGTTGCTAACCCCTCAAGGGATTAGCACCATCCTAATCTATATAATAGCCATTAGATTAAGATGTTGATCCCAAGGCCAATCAAGTGAAAGATATTTTAGTGATGTTGTATCAAACCCTAATATAAACATGCTCCTTTCACAATATTCCTTTCACCCACGGTTGTCTTTCCATTTTCCCCTCTTTCTACACCAATCGTCTCTCCTCTCTGCCTTGATGGTTGTCACGCCGGCCGGCGTGCCACCGGTTGTACCGGGTTCAACCGGTACCGGTCATAAAACCGGCGTGACACCACCGGTATGACCGGCATGATCGATATATGAATCTCTAAGTAAAATGACCTTATTTTAGAGAATTTAATTGATAAAAATTATTTTATTATTTATTTTATGAGTATAAAAGTTACATATTGATGTTATTTGTTGGATTCAAGTATAAATGTTTAGGTATTGGCGTTAAATGTCATGTTTAAATATGAGTATTTATAATTTTATTTGTAATATTGACCGGCATGAACCGGCACAAACCGGTATGTGCCACCGGTTGAACCATTCCACTTGCTAAACCGGCACACTGGCATAAACCGGTTTGACAACCTTGCTGCCTTCTAATCCATCTCTGCGTACGGTTCGGGCGATGGGAAGGAAGTGGTGCTCAAATAAATATGTGATGGAGGCAGGTGGCAACGGGGAAGAAGGGTAGTAGGAGATGCTAATTCAGGAGGTAGGTTGCGACGATGGCGATGGAGGAGTCTCCTCATGATTCTTCTGCTCTATCTATCAATCGCCGATATTGAGGTTACCACAAAGACTGTTGTGAAAGGCATAAAGGTATACAAGAGGGAATGACATATCAGTATAACCTTTGAACAGATCCGACACAAGATCTAGGCTCTGTGCCACGCCTCTATGTTCCATATCCAGATTGACGATCATCTACTCAACCGCTCACAACCCTTTTCGTCGCCTCCCTCCCTCCGCCTCAAGTGCGCCTCCCATCATCAATGTAGTTTACGATAGTGATTTTGTATGGTGATTATAGGTTTACGTAGTGATTTGGGAAGATATATGCCCTTGGATGAGAAAGAGAGAAAGGCATGGGAAGGCAAGTATAGATTTTAATAGTAGTGATTTTTGTTTAGTATTAGGATTTTGCTCATGTATAGTAGCAATTATTCATCTTTTAGTAGTGATTTTTTTACCCGTGTTAGTAGTGATTTGACCATTTGGGTAGTCATTTTTTTTTTCTGTTTGTAGTATGTTTTATAATGTGTGGTAGGGATTCTTATTAAAAATTGGGGTTCGGTACAATTTAAAAATAATTTAAAACACTACTAGTTACATGAAAATCACTATGACTTTCCAATAACACTACTATCAGCCTCCAAAACGATTATTGATTTAAATAGCAATGAATTTGTTAGTAATTTTTCTGGTAGAAAATTACTAATAAACATAGGAGAGATAAAAGAGATTTTATATTTTTATTTATGTATTAGAATGTGGAATACTAAACAAGTCGTTCATTATTAGCTATCGTCAAATTCAACTTAAATGAATTGACGGTGATTAGAGTAGTTAGTACGGTACTAATTATTATGAAGTTAGCACTCTAACCTCTCCCTTTCCAAGCTGGCCCGGTTTATCCCCAAACGAGATCCTTTGGACACCCCCCAACTCCACTCGACCTCTTCGAAAATGGCAAGAAGGTCAACCACTTCCATCTTTATGTTGGGCTGAAGAATTTAACAAAGGCGAGTACAAGAACAGAACAAGACAAGCACGGACCTGAATGGAATGCGAAGATAAAAAACAGCCGACCTAAGTGTCGACTCAAGCATCGCCATAGAAAGAGGTTACAAGCCAGAAGGGCTATGGCGAAAATTTCTGTTGGTGACAAGTCAAAGCTATCAAATGTTAAGCAGGTCGTTAAAGTTGTTGTGGCGGCTTTCTTTCCTTCTAAGGCTGGTTCTCGTAGACGTGCGCGAGGATAATGAGAGATTTGGTTTACGGTGGAATGATGACTACTCTTTCAAGCAAGGCATGGCCCCAGGGAACTTGGAATGGGATGAATCTTTGCAGATAGGTCACTCGGGTGGGTTGTCAAACCCTCTCACTATTGATCTTAAAAGGGCTAGCACTAATTGGGGAAGGATTCAGACTGTGATGATTCCATGTAATTGGAAGTATAGGAAGAAAATTGAGGAAGGAATGCATGGGAGATTTGGTGCGGAAGATGAAAATTGACGGCACTCCTACCACATGCATGGGAAGCCGGAAGAAGTTCGAGCTAGCAACATTGGGGGGGATTCGTCTGCAATGCCCAAGCCTAATTGGAAATATTGAAAGTGCAAGTTCTATCGACCAACTCTCATTGTCGCCTACCACCAAGTTGTGTGGAAGTTTCTTTTTCATCGATCCAGGCTGACACGTCGCCTGAACTTCGGGGGCAAAGTTTTTCAAAGGGGAAGGATTGATACATTTATGCGTCGTGGGCCTCTTGCCACTTCTATTAGTATTATTATTAGAGTCTTTTGATTAATTATTAGGATATTATTGTGGTTATTTCTTATTATTTAGGTACTTGTATTAGTTCCTAGTTCCTGTTTAGGATTATAATTAATTAATGAGTCTTGTCTAATAAGTTATTATAAATATGTATATCTGCTCTGTTCTACGTTTTCATTCATAAACGAAAAGTTAAGTAAAAATTAGCTATAATTTGAAAAAAATTGCTATTCTTCGTCCTATATTCAATATATATTTTACCGCGTTTTCTTAATTAGTTAGTCGTGCAGTTGATCTATTTTCGAGTTCGAGACACCCCGACGCATGGATTCATCAGATTCTTTCTGATTATATCATTGAGTCTTCTATATCGGGAGATGGAATGAGGTCTCCTTTCTCGTTTTGGTATTCCTGCCATTCCTCCTTTCTTGAATCTAACAAGGCATGGTACTTCTCTTTCGCTCAAAAGATCTATAAAAGTTTATTTGAATTGAAATTACGCCACTATTGGTATATAAAAGCCTTGGTTGCCACTACTGTTCATTAGTGGCCCCCAGTTTCCTCCTAAGCGACTGGGCAACTTGCAAATGTTTACCCTTCATTTGCCCATGTGTCCTCAATTCCCTCTCACACCAGCTTCCACTAATTCCTATTACCCCACTCGCGTTGATGGACCTTTGGGTATGTCCATTCTTTGTTGGCTACCCCAGAGAGAATATGCAGTGTCCATTGGCTTTTGCATCTCCTAATTTCCACACGCAACCTCTGCTTTCTTCACTCTGCTTCATCTTTCCCCTTCTTCCTTGGAAACGCCATTCCATCTACCATGCCCATACACTTCCTCCACTCTGCTCTATCTAAGCCCCACTTTCTCTTCTGTTCCCTCTTCTCGCCGTTCCACCCAGCACCGGAATCTGCTCTCGGCGGAATCCCAAACTCGCAGGCATGACGAGGAGGTATATAAAAGCCTTGGTTGCCACTACTGTTCATTAGTGGCCCCCAGTTTCCTCCTAAGCGACTGGGCAACTTGCAAATGTTTACCCTTCATTTGCCCATGTGTCCTCAATTCCCTCTCACACCAGCTTCCACTAATTCCTATTACCCCACTCGCGTTGATGGACCTTTGGGTATGTCCATTCTTTGTTGGCTACCCCAGAGAGAATATGCAGTGTCCATTGGCTTTTGCATCTCCTAATTTCCACACGCAACCTCTGCTTTCTTCACTCTGCTTCATCTTTCCCCTTCTTCCTTGGAAACGCCATTCCATCTACCATGCCCATACACTTCCTCCACTCTGCTCTATCTAAGCCCCACTTTCTCTTCTGTTCCCTCTTCTCGCCGTTCCACCCAGCACCGGAATCTGCTCTCGGCGGAATCCCAAACTCGCAGGCATGACGAGGAGGAAATTTCGCAGTCATGATGGGGAAGAAGCGGGCTAACTTGTGGGTTTGAGCGGGCGGAGGTTCGGATTATGCTGGCAGCGCTGCGATTAGGGCCGGGATGGTATGAATGCCGCCGCAAATGGGTGCGACGAGCGAAGCGGAAGTCCAAAGCGATCTAGGGCAGGGAGGGGAGCTCTGGTTTGCGTTTTTGCTGTACAAGGTTGGTGTTTCAGATCTGGAGATCAGGTGGGCAAGGTCGTGAATCAATCAGTGCGGTGACGTACCAGTTTAATCTCAGGTACCCGCTTCCTCCTCTGCATTTTGCCTGCTGAATCCCACACTTGAACCTCCTCGCTTAATCTAAGGTAACCCTCTGGTTACAACAAGGTTTCTATTTAGTCTCATTGTCTCTTTTTTGTGGTGCGATTTCTGTGATTTTAACGTCAATTAGCGGCTGCTCTAGATGGTTTCATTTTTTTTTCAAATAGGTGAGCAGGACTGATTTGCAGTTGCAGGCATGAGGAGAATTATCTGGTTTGTTCATGTGCCGCCTTTTCCCCTTACCGAAGGTACTGTTTCCTCCCACAAAACCCTACTTCTTGACCTCTTCTTCTCTACATTTACCCTTCTGCAGCATTGAATGTTGGGGTTAATTATGCTGTGATGCCTATGCACTCCTGACGTGTACACTTATTTCTCTAAAATGGTTGTCTAACTTTGGTGGTTGTTCTTTATAATTGGTCTACCTTTTGACAACTATAGAAACCAAAGTTGAATGACTAGAAGCCTAGCACCACTGGCTCTACTGAAAATCCCATCTCACTCTTCTTTTCTTTATTTTTATTGTGTTATTGAACTTGCTGATTCTTCTTTGTTATGTGGGGTTTTGGGGCCAACCAGCAGGCGGAGATTTCGATTACAATAACAAAGAAGATCCTGCCTAGAAGGTATGCAAAGGCGTATGCGAGGCAGCGTGGCAATGCTTAGACATATGTGGATGTGTTGCTGATCGATGATGGTTCACTCCCTGGTTCCAATGGGATATTCCAGAGAATTTAGACAATAGGCTGAGGTAGGTAGTAGCTCTTTGTTGTATTCACAGAGCAACTTTTGCTGAAATTAGTATAGATTAAACATATATGATATATCGTGACATATTGTTGTTTGGAACAGAATGTTGAGTACTTTTATTACATTTAGGGTCATGGTGATTTGAAAGTAATCGTCTCATAATCAGGACAGTCACATTCTGATAAGTTTTGTGTGCTAGCTACCTAGCTGCCTCATGAATATTGTTCTTTACTTTTCCATTATAGGCCTAGAGAAGTACCAATTCCTCCAGTTTGTTAGATGTGAATTTTGTATGTTCCAGTTCATAAGAGGAGCAAGTTGTTCTAAATGCATATGCATTAGCCAATGAAATGAAGTATGTGATTGAAGATTGGGTAGTTCTGTTAGTTCTAAACATTCATTCCTTGGCTTTCTTAATGGAATTGGATAGTAGCAATTAGTAAAGAAATTTGTCATTTAGAAGAGTAAGTCAGAGCCATGCATTCAAGCATGATTGTTGTGTTGCTTATCTTTGTTTAAATCTGGTTATATATATAATATATGGGAGAGGAGTTCATTGATTTTCCTTTCTCACGTAACATAGATCAGATTTCCTGGCTGAACTGTGACGATTTGGAAACGCTGCAGGAAAAACAATTAATGAGCTTGGTGTGAAAACTTGCAAATTTGTTGTCTCTATTCCATATTGGGCGATAATCGATTATATTATTTTCTTTTGGGTGGCAGAATCAGCTGGTATTAAGCAAGGTGAATTGTTGAATTCTGCCTTTTTTACAGGTACTGTTGGGTACAGATTTGCCAACTTCTGCAGCTGGTATTGGCAACCCTGATGTCGATTTTGTGTTGGGCACTGAAAAGAAACTGCTCGAGGTATGCAACAAATTGAAAATCCCCCCGGGCTGATCACACATATTTTCAATTGACTCATGTAGTATGTGAAATATCGTGTCCTTGATTAGCAGCTTAGCATCATTCTTGCCCAATTAATGGAAAGGGATGTTGTTCATACTTTAGAAGTTGATTGAAACTAACAGACTATTTCCTCATATGTAGGAAGAACTGAACAGTTGTAGTTAGGAAATATGAACTTGATAGAAGGAATTTTACTTCTTTGAACTGAATAAGAAGAGAGCAAGGGTCCCAATGAGTCAGGTGACTTTGAGAGCCCAAATCTCTTTTATGTTTGATAATCATGAAATAACTTAGTGTTTGTGGCTACTTTGCAAATTGATATCTTTAAAAAATCATCAAATTGGGATTTTGGTTAAATGGAAATTGAAACGTACCAGCTCACACGAAAAAGTATATCAGTTACTTAAGTAGCCTTTTCATGCAAATTCTTGGTTTTGTTCTCACTGATTTTGCTTATAGAGTATTTGGAACAAAATGGTAATGTTTTTTTTTTCTTCTTCTATTTAATGGATGTGGTGCATATACATGTAGGTGAATGTGATGCTTTACTCTGATGAACCGAGACCTGGAGTAACGCTATTGTAGCTGCTGGGGAGAATACTTGATCGCCAGCAGCAAACCTGCAAAGCAAATATGCGCTTTTTCCAAATCTCCAGGTTAGATATTGTTCTTTGTGAATTTAATCGTTTTCCTTTGACTTAGTGGCTCTCCTTTAGTGCGGCTGAATAGTTTCAGAATTCAGATTATGTGCTATGTGCTTACATTATTGAATGAATTAGATTTATGGTTAAAGGGAGTTCAATAGTCTATTCCCTTTGCTTTTGATATAATTTACTGCGTATTTTAGTGACAGTTACCTTAGGATCATGGATGGGAGGATGTACGGTTCGTGCAGGTTATGTGGACCCTCAAATTCATGTTTGGTAGGTTTTAGCTCCCCGTTTAAGATCTACCCGCCATACAACTTTTTTTTTTAATGGGAAGACACAAAATCTGTGTGAATGGTTTTATTTTGTAATGTCATTCACATATATAGATGTGTGGATTCAACGGTGTTTGAGTCATTGACGTTGTGTGAATCATAGGAGGATGTACTGGGAGTGCCTGATTTAATTCGAACAACAATTGGTTGCAATTCTAATATGGAATGCTGTTATTACGGTCAACAGCTTGCAGCTAGCCTGAGTTTACAGCAAGTAAAAACACTTGCCCGACATATCTTTCACAGTTAGTTCGATCTTAATTAAAATGGCTCTTTGAATCACAATTTGGGATTAATTGATTCTTATGAGGATTTGCTGGGGTTTTTATGTTGGTTTTCAAGAAAGATTTGGCATTTGTTTATCCATGGTTATAACTGAAACGAGTGAGAAGCACATGTCCATCCGATAGGAGTGGATGTGCAAGCAGGACTCAACCTTTGGAAGCTAATCAAGACCTTTTGTATTCACATTGTCGACGCATTTACATGGAATTGATTTAGAACCAATATTATCAACCTGGGCCGTAAATGTCGTTTCCTTTTGATATTCATCAGAGGTCTACATTACGTTATGTATTTGATTGTTGGGTTAACATTTAATTCAGGGATGATTGGTGTTATAATTTGCAGAGCGGAATAGAATCAATCCCTTGGTCAAAGAGCGTGGGAAAACTACTGATCCTAAAGCAGACAGTAAGCGAATATATCTTCCCAATTGTTTCCAAATGTCACAGTGGTCGGGTTTTTCCCCCGAGGGATGAACGGTCAAGAGACTGGGAGGAGTAGGGACTTGCTTTCTTGAATCTGTTCCTTGATGTTCAATTTTTTCACTAATGGTTTGCTTTTACACTCTTCTGGTGGCCTAATTCGTTTAACATAGTGGTGTTAGGAGCATGTAATCACTTTTCGTTCAGGTAATTCTTAAGTTTAGAAATTTAAATTTTGGGTCTCCCCAAAATTGAAAGAATGATGGCTATGTTGAAACTTGAAATCGCCTATCACCGAGGAGATCTCCTTTGTGGTTTCTTGGAATCAATAATAATTGATTGAGGATGTATAAGCTTGCAAAGGGGTATTCGAATGGGTGCTGGGTCAGTGATCAATTGGTATTTCTTGGCTCCAAAACTGTCCAATACTCATTTCATTTTTTTCAATTTATGTTCTTGACAAGTTCATTTCCCAACTCATAATCATTTTGTTATGGTGCATCCAGGTAAATATCATCCTTTCTGACCAAACTTTGGGTGCCTCTTCCACCTTGCTTCTTGCAGACTATGCTGGTGGTAGTTGTTTAGAGAGCTTGCTACGTTTATTTTCTCGCGAAGCGTAGCGAGCGGGTCTTTTCTAGTTGGTATATAAAAGCCTTGGTTGCCACTACTGTTCATTAGTGGCCCCCAGTTTCCTCCTAAGCGACTGGGCAACTTGCAAATGTTTACCCTTCATTTGCCCATGTGTCCTCAATTCCCTCTCACACCAGCTTCCACTAATTCCTATTACCCCACTCGCGTTGATGGACCTTTGGGTATGTCCATTCTTTGTTGGCTACCCCAGAGAGAATATGCAGTGTCCATTGGCTTTTGCATCTCCTAATTTCCACACGCAACCTCTGCTTTCTTCACTCTGCTTCATCTTTCCCCTTCTTCCTTGGAAACGCCATTCCATCTACCATGCCCATACACTTCCTCCACTCTGCTCTATCTAAGCCCCACTTTCTCTTCTGTTCCCTCTTCTCGCCGTTCCACCCAGCACCGGAATCTGCTCTCGGCGGAATCCCAAACTCGCAGGCATGACGAGGAGGTATATAAAAGCCTTGGTTGCCACTACTGTTCATTAGTGGCCCCCAGTTTCCTCCTAAGCGACTGGGCAACTTGCAAATGTTTACCCTTCATTTGCCCATGTGTCCTCAATTCCCTCTCACACCAGCTTCCACTAATTCCTATTACCCCACTCGCGTTGATGGACCTTTGGGTATGTCCATTCTTTGTTGGCTACCCCAGAGAGAATATGCAGTGTCCATTGGCTTTTGCATCTCCTAATTTCCACACGCAACCTCTGCTTTCTTCACTCTGCTTCATCTTTCCCCTTCTTCCTTGGAAACGCCATTCCATCTACCATGCCCATACACTTCCTCCACTCTGCTCTATCTAAGCCCCACTTTCTCTTCTGTTCCCTCTTCTCGCCGTTCCACCCAGCACCGGAATCTGCTCTCGGCGGAATCCCAAACTCGCAGGCATGACGAGGAGGAAATTTCGCAGTCATGATGGGGAAGAAGCGGGCTAACTTGTGGGTTTGAGCGGGCGGAGGTTCGGATTATGCTGGCAGCGCTGCGATTAGGGCCGGGATGGTATGAATGCCGCCGCAAATGGGTGCGACGAGCGAAGCGGAAGTCCAAAGCGATCTAGGGCAGGGAGGGGAGCTCTGGTTTGCGTTTTTGCTGTACAAGGTTGGTGTTTCAGATCTGGAGATCAGGTGGGCAAGGTCGTGAATCAATCAGTGCGGTGACGTACCAGTTTAATCTCAGGTACCCGCTTCCTCCTCTGCATTTTGCCTGCTGAATCCCACACTTGAACCTCCTCGCTTAATCTAAGGTAACCCTCTGGTTACAACAAGGTTTCTATTTAGTCTCATTGTCTCTTTTTTGTGGTGCGATTTCTGTGATTTTAACGTCAATTAGCGGCTGCTCTAGATGGTTTCATTTTTTTTTCAAATAGGTGAGCAGGACTGATTTGCAGTTGCAGGCATGAGGAGAATTATCTGGTTTGTTCATGTGCCGCCTTTTCCCCTTACCGAAGGTACTGTTTCCTCCCACAAAACCCTACTTCTTGACCTCTTCTTCTCTACATTTACCCTTCTGCAGCATTGAATGTTGGGGTTAATTATGCTGTGATGCCTATGCACTCCTGACGTGTACACTTATTTCTCTAAAATGGTTGTCTAACTTTGGTGGTTGTTCTTTATAATTGGTCTACCTTTTGACAACTATAGAAACCAAAGTTGAATGACTAGAAGCCTAGCACCACTGGCTCTACTGAAAATCCCATCTCACTCTTCTTTTCTTTATTTTTATTGTGTTATTGAACTTGCTGATTCTTCTTTGTTATGTGGGGTTTTGGGGCCAACCAGCAGGCGGAGATTTCGATTACAATAACAAAGAAGATCCTGCCTAGAAGGTATGCAAAGGCGTATGCGAGGCAGCGTGGCAATGCTTAGACATATGTGGATGTGTTGCTGATCGATGATGGTTCACTCCCTGGTTCCAATGGGATATTCCAGAGAATTTAGACAATAGGCTGAGGTAGGTAGTAGCTCTTTGTTGTATTCACAGAGCAACTTTTGCTGAAATTAGTATAGATTAAACATATATGATATATCGTGACATATTGTTGTTTGGAACAGAATGTTGAGTACTTTTATTACATTTAGGGTCATGGTGATTTGAAAGTAATCGTCTCATAATCAGGACAGTCACATTCTGATAAGTTTTGTGTGCTAGCTACCTAGCTGCCTCATGAATATTGTTCTTTACTTTTCCATTATAGGCCTAGAGAAGTACCAATTCCTCCAGTTTGTTAGATGTGAATTTTGTATGTTCCAGTTCATAAGAGGAGCAAGTTGTTCTAATTGCATATGCATTAGCCAATGAAATGAAGTATGTGATTGAAGATTGGGTAGTTCTGTTAGTTCTAAACATTCATTCCTTGGCTTTCTTAATGGAATTGGATAGTAGCAATTAGTAAAGAAATTTGTCATTTAGAAGAGTAAGTCAGAGCCATGCATTCAAGCATGATTGTTGTGTTGCTTATCTTTGTTTAAATCTGGTTATATATATAATATATGGGAGAGGAGTTCATTGATTTTCCTTTCTCACGTAACATAGATCAGATTTCCTGGCTGAACTGTGACGATTTGGAAACGCTGCAGGAAAAACAATTAATGAGCTTGGTGTGAAAACTTGCAAATTTGTTGTCTCTATTCCATATTGGGCGATAATCGATTATATTATTTTCTTTTGGGTGGCAGAATCAGCTGGTATTAAGCAAGGTGAATTGTTGAATTCTGCCTTTTTTACAGGTACTGTTGGGTACAGATTTGCCAACTTCTGCAGCTGGTATTGGCAACCCTGATGTCGATTTTGTGTTGGGCACTGAAAAGAAACTGCTCGAGGTATGCAACAAATTGAAAATCCCCCCGGGCTGATCACACATATTTTCAATTGACTCATGTAGTATGTGAAATATCGTGTCCTTGATTAGCAGCTTAGCATCATTCTTGCCCAATTAATGGAAAGGGATGTTGTTCATACTTTAGAAGTTGATTGAAACTAACAGACTATTTCCTCATATGTAGGAAGAACTGAACAGTTGTAGTTAGGAAATATGAACTTGATAGAAGGAATTTTACTTCTTTGAACTGAATAAGAAGAGAGCAAGGGTCCCAATGAGTCAGGTGACTTTGAGAGCCCAAATCTCTTTTATGTTTGATAATCATGAAATAACTTAGTGTTTGTGGCTACTTTGCAAATTGATATCTTTAAAAAATCATCAAATTGGGATTTTGGTTAAATGGAAATTGAAACGTACCAGCTCACACGAAAAAGTATATCAGTTACTTAAGTAGCCTTTTCATGCAAATTCTTGGTTTTGTTCTCACTGATTTTGCTTATAGAGTATTTGGAACAAAATGGTAATGTTTTTTTTTTCTTCTTCTCTTTAATGGATGTGGTGCATATACATGTAGGTGAATGTGATGCTTTACTCTGATGAACCGAGACCTGGAGTAACGCTATTGTAGCTGCTGGGGAGAATACTTGATCGCCAGCAGCAAACCTGCAAAGCAAATATGCGCTTTTTCCAAATCTCCAGGTTAGATATTGTTCTCTGTGAATTTAATCGTTTTCCTTTGACTTAGTGGCTCTCCTTTAGTGCGGCTGAATAGTTTCAGAATTCAGATTATGTGCTATGTGCTTACATTATTGAATGAATTAGATTTATGGTTAAAGGGAGTTCAATAGTCTATTCCCTTTGCTTTTGATATAATTTACTGCGTATTTTAGTGACAGTTACCTTAGGATCATGGATGGGAGGATGTACGGTTCGTGCAGGTTATGTGGACCCTCAAATTCATGTTTGGTAGGTTTTAGCTCCCCGTTTAAGATCTACCCGCCATACAACTTTTTTTTTTAATGGGAAGACACAAAATCTGTGTGAATGGTTTTATTTTGTAATGTCATTCACATATATAGATGTGTGGATTCAACGGTGTTTGAGTCATTGACGTTGTGTGAATCATAGGAGGATGTACTGGGAGTGCCTGATTTAATTCGAACAACAATTGGTTGCAATTCTAATATGGAATGCTGTTATTACGGTCAACAGCTTGCAGCTAGCCTGAGTTTACAGCAAGTAAAAACACTTGCCCGGCATATCTTTCACAGTTAGTTCGATCTTAATTAAAATGGCTCTTTGAATCACAATTTGGGATTAATTGATTCTTATGAGGATTTGCTGGGGTTTTTATGTTGGTTTTCAAGAAAGATTTGGCATTTGTTTATCCATGGTTATAACTGAAACGAGTGAGAAGCACATGTCCATCCGATAGGAGTGGATGTGCAAGCAGGACTCAACCTTTGGAAGCTAATCAAGACCTTTTGTATTCACATTGTCGACGCATTTACATGGAATTGATTTAGAACCAATATTATCAACCTGGGCCGTAAATGTCGTTTCCTTTTGATATTCATCAGAGGTCTACATTACGTTATGTATTTGATTGTTGGGTTAACATTTAATTCAGGGATGATTGGTGTTATAATTTGCAGAGCGGAATAGAATCAATCCCTTGGTCAAAGAGCGTGGGAAAACTACTGATCCTAAAGCAGACAGTAAGCGAATATATCTTCCCAATTGTTTCCAAATGTCACAGTGGTCGGGTTTTTCCCCCGAGGGATGAACGGTCAAGAGACTGGGAGGAGTAGGGACTTGCTTTCTTGAATCTGTTCCTTGATGTTCAATTTTTTCACTAATGGTTTGCTTTTACACTCTTCTGGTGGCCTAATTCGTTTAACATAGTGGTGTTAGGAGCATGTAATCACTTTTCGTTCAGGTAATTCTTAAGTTTAGAAATTTAAATTTTGGGTCTCCCCAAAATTGAAAGAATGATGGCTATGTTGAAACTTGAAATCGCCTATCACCGAGGAGATCTCCTTTGTGGTTTCTTGGAATCAATAATAATTGATTGAGGATGTATAAGCTTGCAAAGGGGTATTCGAATGGGTGCTGGGTCAGTGATCAATTGGTATTTCTTGGCTCCAAAACTGTCCAATACTCATTTCATTTTTTTCAATTTATGTTCTTGACAAGTTCATTTCCCAACTCATAATCATTTTGTTATGGTGCATCCAGGTAAATATCATCCTTTCTGACCAAACTTTGGGTGCCTCTTCCACCTTGCTTCTTGCAGACTATGCTGGTGGTAGTTGTTTAGAGAGCTTGCTACGTTTATTTTCTCGCGAAGCGTAGCGAGCGGGTCTTTTCTAGTATTCTATATGTACAAAAAGCAAAAAAAAAAGCTTAAAACCCCAACGGTCCCCTGCTCTCTGATCGAGTATCATCCATGGAAGAACACCACATATTTTTACACAGTGAAGTCACCAAAAGCGAGAAACAGACACTCGAACTATTCTAGAATCCAGGAAAAACACTAATCTATAAATCGTTCATTTCCGAATTCGTTTCTCCAGTCACTAACTGAAGCTGACTTCGCATGATCTCTGCCTCCTCATCCTCTGTCCCCAAGAGGCCTTGCTCTGTTTCCCCTGGCGAATGCTCTGCAATTCCTCCATCTGCGTTTCCCACCTTTGTTTCCACTCCCCTTTTGGATCCGCTCCCTGTTTCCCATCAAGAAAAATGAACCACCAAAATTCAATCAGCTTCTATTCGACATAAAATTGTCAAGAACCAGTTGATCCTAATAACTCGAGTTGTTGGGAGAGGTTCAATCGTGGATCATATACCACAACACTAACACGCCCCCTCAAACGAAAGCCACTCACATGAGCTTGAAGTTTGCACAGGTCTGAAAACAAGAATACCATGTACTTAACAAATGGGGCTCATCGGAAATCGAAAACAAGACCTCTCGATTATAGAAAACTCTGATACCATGTCAAAAACCAGTTGATCCCAATAATTCGAATTGTTGGGAGAAGTTCAATCGTGAATCATATACCACAACACTAACAAAAATTTCTGAGCTCTCCATAGCAATTCCTCGACGTTTTACCTTGTGGAATTGCTTTGTAGCAGAGAAAGCCGTATGGAAGCCAGAGGCCAGCGCTCTGTCATATTGAGCTCGGCTGTCGGGATCCGACAACGTCTCGTAAGCCTCCTGCACCTCAAGAAATCGGTTCGTGTACTCCTCGGCTCTCTCCTGCGGGGAAACGTCCGGGTGGTATTTCCGAGCAAGTTGCCTGTACGCGTGCTTGATCTCCGGCAGCGTTCCGCTCGCCGGGATCCCCAACAAATCGTAGAAGCTCTCCGTGCTGACGTACAGGCTACTCCCGGCGGTGGCGGTGGAAGCTGCGGCTTTGATGGGGATGTTACTGGGTCTGAAGCTTCTGCTGGGACGGCGAGCTCGGAGGTCGACGAAACGGGCTATGCTGGAAGCGAAGCCGATTGAATGTGGATCGGAAGCAGGGTGGAAGTGGGAGGCTCTTGCTGCCGTGGCAGAATAGCCGCCGGCGGTTAGTTGGGTTACGGGTGAGAGAATTCCGTTACTCATTTTGCTTTCTGAGGAGCTGATTTGGCTATCGGAGTTCAAGTTGGAGATGTTGCAGGGGAAAGGAGAAAAGAGAAGTTGGAACAATTTATAGAGAGACGTCTAGTGCAGAAGTTACGAGGTGGGGTTTATTGGGAATTTTTTTTTAGCTCCAATCTTGATTAAACGCAGAATTTCCCATCAGTTACGAGGAATATATAAATTGATTAACAAATTAGAGAAAATAAGAAAGTGTTTTAATCTCATTTCTTATATTTAGTCTCACTTAAAAGCAAGTGTTCATATTTAATTATGCACCCTACTCTACACCTGATATATGAATATGTTTAAGTAAGGTATTGGAGATATTATGATGATACAAATTTTCAAAAGATATAGATATTACATGCCCTTCAACTATGCATTTTTATTAAATATGTCTTTCTATTATTATTTACATCAAACATATCTATTTAGTTTAGAAAATTATCATACATGTTCTACTATTAAAATTTCCATCCCAAAACTTCAAAAATGTTAAAGTGAAATTGTTGTATTTTAGAAATTGTTTTTGCTCAAATCACGATTAGTTCTTGATTGACGATTTTGGGTGAAATTTTTAACAGAATGACATCTTTGTTAATTGTCCTAAAGTAAAAGAGGATGTTTGATGTAAAAAATAATGGAGATATGTTTGATAAAAATGCATAATAGAAAGACAAATTATACGTATAACCCCTTTTTGCAAATTATATGATGTAAATATATCTATATATACATGATAAAATGAAATAAAACAATAAAATGCCAGATGTGTTGCTTCTTTGATTTAAGAAATGGGGGTATTTTGCAAAAAAAAAAAAAGGGGTATTTGCCTCAATTCAGCCATTCCTTTCTTGATCGCATGACTATATTTAGAAGTAAAATATATTTCCTAATCTCGTTATTCTTCATGGTTTAACGGTCAACCTGCAACTTATGGAATATAATATTCGTTAGGAATGATTCATCTGAAAAGAAAAAGAACATCCTGAGGAATGTTGAGAAATATCCGCATTATGAGCACTTGATCTAATTACTTGCATTTAGTATCGGTTTATTCGATCATTAACATTAGTGATTTGCGTTCCTTTGACTAGTAATAGAGAGTAATGAATGCATTGTAAGAAATATAACAAAAGGACAAGAAGTAATTTTATGCTGTGGCCAAATGTTCTTTTTTTCGTGAACTATAAGAAATTATCATTACTATTAAAAATAGTGTGTAGTAGTTTTTTTATGATCAATAAAAATTCTTTAAGCATTCGAGGACCACAACAATAAAATTTTTAGAATGTTGCGAAAATGGTTCACATATACTATTTTCTTGTAAAACAAGCAACATGTAAGGTCACGAAAAAAGTCCAATAAAAAAACATGTATTTCCCTCATGTGATCTGTTCGTTCCTTTAGCCTTCAAACTTAAAATTTTAAATATTATTGTTTTAGACCCATAGTCAAAACCCAATTCATAAATTGTCTATTGTTTTAAATTTATAATCGAAACCTAATAGTCCGTAATAGTAATTAGTTATATACATGATGGAGGTCTGGAGGCCCCCATAATTTGGAGGCCCTATGCGGTAGGGTCTGCCTGCACACCCTTAGGGTTGACCCTAATTGAAAGCAACGTTGTCAAACCGATTTATACCGTTATGTCGGTTTGACAAGTGGTATTCGACCCTTAGAGAAGTGCGGAACGACTAACACTTGATGAATTTTGGCATAGGTATTTAAAAACAATCTCTCTAATACTTATATTCATATTTAAATAAAGTACAACATTCCAAATAAAATGAAAAATCATAATTTTTATATACAACATTTAACACCAACATCTAAAAGTTCATACTTGAATCTAACAAATAACATAAACTTCTAAAAATTTATACTTAAATTCAACAAATAACATCAATATTTAACTTTCAAGAAACAAATAAGAAAATTATTTTTATTAATTAATTCACAAAAATGTCATTTTGTTTAAAGTTCGAATATCGATCATTCCAATCATATGTATAGAGGGTATTCCAGCCAATTTTGTAACGAGTATGAGTATCCGTTTGAGCCCAATTATACTGAATGACATGTCAACGCATGACAATCTACTTGAGAGCGATCACATGATCGTAATCGTAAAAACCTTGTAACAATCTGAATACTAAACCCACAAACAAGTCAGGTCTATATCCCCAACCTTACCGCTCTCGATCGGAAGTCAACATTACCTTGAATAAATGTTTACACCTAAAAAATACTAGTGTACCACATTGATTACTTACAATGCACTAACTGCCTTTATAAGGCCAGATCATTAATAACAATTAATGTTATTTGAACTGGGCCTCATGATACTAGTTTTTAAGCCCAAATCACTAAGTCTCCAGGAAGGAGCTAGTCTCGTCGCGAGTTGGGTAGCCTGACGTGGTCGCGAGATCTAGACCACGTTGGCTTCAAATCTAGAGCCCGACGTGGTCACGAGATCTGGACCATGTTGGCATCAAATCTAGAGCCCTACGTGGTCATGAGATCTAGACCACGTTGGCTTCAAACTTAGAGCTCTGCGTGGTCATGAGATCTAGACCACGTTGGCGTCAAATTTAGAGCCCGACGTGGTCACGAGATCTGGACCATGTTGGCATCAAATCTAGAGCCCAACGTGGTCATGAGATCTAGACCACGTTGGCTTCAAACTTAGAGCCCGACGTGGTCATGAGATCTAGACCACGTTGGCTTCAAACTTAGAGCTCTACGTGGTCATGAGATCTAGACCACGTTGGCGTCAAATTTAGAGCCCGACGTGGTCGCGAGATCTAGACCACTTCGTGAGACCATGTCCAAGATATGAGCTAACAAGTTGGAAGTAAGAAGGCAAGTCATGTGGGAGAGGCAAGTAACAAGACGACAGTTACAGGATGAAGAGCAGGCGGTTAACGGAGAAACTGCCGAGTATCCCACGTGCAATGACACGTCAACCACGTCCGAGAAAGAAGGAGAGCAGTTCCTTTTGGAAGTTACTCTAAGACAGTTTCTACGACGGTTATCATCTCAAGGCTATAAATAGGAGGAGGAGTTGACAGAGAAAGGGTTCGGCCAAATTCACACTAGATAACACAATGTCAAATTTTATCCCTTTATCCTTTCCTCTGCAATTTTAGTCGTAGTCGTAGATCCGGAGCTCTCACTGAACCTCCATAGGAGTAGGAGTAAATTAATGTAGATCTGTCTCGAGAGTCGTGTAAACATCGAACACCCTCGTTCGAACTGTGCTTGAAGAGGTGTGAACCGTGTCTTAGTGATCGTTGTCCAAAGAAGTTAAGGTGCATTCAATTCGTTTCAACGCAAGTTTTCTCGCCGGAGAACAAATTTGGCACGCCCAGTGGGACCTTGTGTTTGATATGATGGCTCCACGACATAGACAACAAGATGAAGATCTTCTACAAGTCTTTTTAGAAGAGGATCAAGTGACTAGCTTCAAAGTTGGTCGAGTGGATGTTGTTGCCGGAAACAATGGCGGGATGAAGGCTCTGCCAGCACCGGCGACAAGTTTGGATGAAGCAGCTTCCATCACTTCGCTCCATCAATCCATTGAGGAGGGTATGGTTGACCCCCAACAGGTAAACCGACGTTTAACTTCTCATATTAAGCGTCATGCTTCTCTTATTGAACGTATCGATTCTCTCATTGAACGTCATGATTCTCTCATTGAGCGTCATGATTCACTCATTTCTTGGATGGATACATGTCTATATAATTGGTCTGGCAACTTGAGCAAGACTCAAAGCCATTTTTATGAGTCTAGACATGTCTCGGACATATCTGTGGTTCAATCAAGGACTTTGCCAATAAATAGCAAAGACCCACCACTAAACAGTGTTACATGGTGTAAGAATCTTTCTTCCACTGGTTTTCAAAATGGTCGATCATGGAAAGAAACATCGCCGACATCTGTAACAAGCCAAATGCCATATCAACATGGGAGTTGTGGCCAAAATTTGGCCTTCACGTTCACGACCCATGATTGTGACTTGTCTGTACAATATGGAGTTCAACCGCCCATGCTAGATAGAAGAACCCCTGTGGATGACATAGGTGGTGGTGTTTCATCCAAAATGGATCAAGTACCACGATCTGCTCACCCACCCCCAGTGAGTAGGCAAGGAATGGATTATGAAGAACTCAAACCATCTAGAGCCCATCATGGGGGGAATGGAAGTCTAACATCCCACAAGATGAAATCGAGAAGTCCACCTAGGGGGAATGTGGTACCTAAGAATCCACATGAAATCCAAGCCACACATGCATATGATAAGCATGTTAGTCTGGCTAAACCTAGACATGGGGGCATGTCACCCATCCTGAAGTATGAAGTAGGGGGGCATGTGTTGGAAGACACAACAGCTCCAAGCCACCCATGGCTTTTACAAGTGTAAAACTATGGTTAAGTCTGGACAAGAGGGCATGCCACCAATCATCAACAGTAGACATGAGGTCAAGTCCAACAAGAAAAGATGTGGGAAAGCTAAAAAGAGTTATCGTAGTCTTGAAAATTTAGCTAAGTATGAGAAAGGAGGCATATCACCCACCATAAATAATGGAGTAGGGGGCATGTCCAAGAAGCTAAAAGAATTCCAGCCTACACATGCTTGTGATAAGTACACAAGTTTGGCTAAGTGTGGACAGGGGGGCAAGTCCATGTTTATGAGTAGTAAGTACATGCCATCAATCATGAATGATGGACATAGGGGCATGTATAAGAAGGCACCATACGCACAAACCAAACATGACCTCACAAAGAACCAAGGATGGATGTGTGCTAAGTGTAGGGGCCAATAAGGTTTGGATGTTGAAAGACGAGTGGGCCACATGGGTGGTCGCCGACTTGTCAAGACTGGATATCGTCTCCCACAACATGAGGAGAGTAAGCATGTCTCAATCGAGAGGCATCCAAGGCAGAGGAAAACACATGGTTGTCTTGACATGTCAAGTAAGGTGGCCAAAGCACAGGAACATGGGACCCCATGTAAGGCCACCAAGGCAAGACATACAGACCATATACCACCCAGTGGTAAGTTAGAAAATTCAAAATTAATGTATGGAAAGTCATCTCCCATAGAGAAAAAGATTCATGTGGTCTATGGATGGCTTGTCTGCTTTAATCCAT